AGAAAAACCTGTTTGGGAAATAAACACTACTGTGAGCTAATTATAGCCTGTATTAAAATATTCTATTAAACTCAACCAAGCATGAATATTAATACTCCTACAGGTGAAAAAGGTATCGAATTTCTCAGGAGATAAATATATTAATCAGTTTTGCAGGACATGTTAGTAATACATGCCCAAGCATGTATTGACTTTAATAGAATATTTTAATACAGGCTATAATTAGCTTACAGCAATGTTTATTTCCCAAACCGGTTTGACATATTTTTACAAATGGCCAATCACATGCGAGATTCAAATTCTGAACCTAATCAAGTGTGGAAGTGGGATTTGCAATCGATGTCACCCTGGGCCTTACACAGCGGAGGAGAGGGGGCAGCAGGGGGCAACTGCCCCCTAAAGAAAACTGTATTTACAATTTTTAGATTGTCATTGTTAATTATTCTTTGCATATTTGGGACTTTTTTCAACATATAAGCCTTACTGCCCCCTTGGTGATACGGCCCTGATGTGACCAGAGGCTCTCCGTTCTCACATCTTGTTTCTTTCACCTTGCAAAGAGCCTCTGGAACCAGGGTACTCTTAAAGTAACACACAGACAAAGCAAATAATATAATGCTTTTAAAAATCTTCAATTTCAAAAGAGGCAGTAAATTGGTAGGGAAATCTTTCAATAATATCCTGTGGTTATGGTAAACTATGTACCGGTACCAGACAATATAAATCCCTGCCTGCTCAAATCTAGGAAGTGTGGGGGCCATTGGGCAAAGCAGGGTCACTGAAGGCCTGTTTATATGATCCTGCCTAGACGGGATGTTTTCATCCCACCTAGATGGGAAATTCGCCTAGTGTTTAATGTTTATATGGACAAAATACATTGCCTGGATGAAGCAATTTAAGTGAGCTTGACGTCATATTTTTGTTGCAATAAAGGCATATACGCATGCTCAAAAGGGAAAAGTTCATCCCACCTAGCTGGGATGAAGTGTTTATATGGGAATTTTTCGTTCCAGCTAGGCGGGATGAAGTGTTTGTATGGGAATTTTTCATCTCGTTTAGGCAGGATCCTGGCATCTGTTGCCGAGATCCCGCCTAGGCGGGATAAGTGGCAGGATCATATAAACACTCTTTAGAATTTGTATTATGAGCGGGATCTTGGTAAGCACCCCGTCCGCCTGGCCGGGATCATACATATAAACAGGCCCTGAGACAACACCAGATATTTACACATTCCAGCAATTTTGATTATGCAGTGCTGACTGCTGAGAAGTAAAAACTGGCAACTTCTGGGTTGGGGGAGGTGGTAATTTACATTGACTGGTATTGTACACTAAATAGTTATGGGGTGCTATGGCTGCCAGTTCTGTTGTCTTTAAAAGGACTGCTAATTCTAAACTGCAGTGATTCAAAACATTGTCCCAGCATGTTCTAGAGATTAATATGAGTACATACTCATATTTTGGAACAATTTCCAAGGACAAACTGACTATAAAGATCTGTATAAATTTCCATCATAGAAAATGCAATTCACCTGCCTGCAAAAAGGTTAATCCACTTGGAACGTTTTCCGTGGTTGTGGACATTCATTCCACATCGAATGCATCCGCGATCAACATCAGCGATTGCCCAGTTTGTCAAGCAACAACGTTGGCAAATGTTGAAGCTCTTGGAAGGCCTTGGAAAGACAGCAAATATTAACGCTGTTTGCCTCGGCGACTCGCTTTAGAGAGGACGAAAGCGACGAAGAAATTGAGGCAGCCGATGACGATGAACCAGAAGACGAACAGAACGAAACCCTCGTGAACAGTTTGTTAGCAAAAATAAGCATTTCACGAAGGTCTGACAATCGCCATTTTGCCAACCGGATATGTTCAGTAATGAGTGTGTATGAGTCATGCGATACTGTCCTGGATCGTTGTGACCAGGACGCATTTCCGATGCGAGATGAGATGATATAGGCAATATTTAAAAATATTTCGGCTGTGGTGTGGGGAAAATAAGTTTAAACTGCCAAATCTACCAATTTTTTTTATGTGTGTGTTAAGATAGTGCAAGTGAGAGTATGCTATTTTACGCGCGTTAAAACACTGTTATTCAAACATAAATATTTCGCAGTCTAGATCGAATTTAAAAAATCCCCCGAGGAAATTAAAGAAGAAAGCATGCTTTATCAGAATTTCTCAGTTTTGGAGTAAAAAGTTTAATATCGAATGTCACGGAGGGCGTAGAACAAGGTGTTATTTTCTCACTCCTTTTGTTTATATGTTTCGAATTTCAAGCATTCTGATTGGTCAAGGACGCAAAATGTAAACAAACGCGCTGATTGGCTAACATTATTTACCCTTGTTTGTTTAAACCTTTTCTAAAATCTTTTTGTTAATAACTTAATATTTTATAATAATATAAGTGTTTTTTAAACTTTAAAGCTGCCAAATTGATGGTTTATCCCATTCTTGGTGAATTTTTTAAAGTGAAAACAGAAATTTAAATCCGGCCGGATGCCGGAAAATTCGTTAAATCCGGCCGGATTCTGGCCGGATTTGAAATCCGGTGCCCCCTATTGACAAGCGAGACTTTGCACGGGAGTTTTCTCAATAATCATGCCCCGGTTAAACCAGAACAAGAGATACACGATATTACCGTGCATACCGGTCAAACAAATCATTCAAGTCCGTTTCCACTAGGCGAATTTGTTCGAGCATAGACAATCCAGAAGATTGTCTATGGTTCGAGCGAAACGACTTTTCCTTTGTCGGCATCGTATTTGCTGGCGTAAGAAGCGATGACGAGAAAGAAAAAGCTCGCTTTGCGTGAACAAATTCACCCAGTGGAAAACGGGCTTGACGAGGGAAAGGTTAAGCCGAAACAATGCCAGTGACTGTTGTGGTCATTCTTCCTTACCTTGATGATGATCCTACTGAGATCTGTTTTAAACTGCTTGATAGATTACGTGTATCCCATATTCCAAGTTCTTGTTTCCGTGACTAAACATTCAAAATATATATAGGGTAAAAATTGGTTGACATCAAGATTTTGTTGGCATCTCACTCGATTGAATAAAAGTTGAAGGGTATCGTAGGTGGAAATTATCGAGTGGAAATTTATATGCATTTATTAGATGTATATAAAATGTCTAATAAATATTATAATATAGTCATTCACCGTATATGAGCTGTTCTGCAATCTGATTGGTTGAATTACTCGCCGTATATCAGCTCATATACAGCGAGTAGCGAAAAAAAACAAGATGGCGGTCCAAAAACTACATGAGTTTTGCGAAGCAGAAAAAAGGAAAATATTCGCTTTGAGAAAGATAATAGTAGCTACAAGAAAAAACTCCCGAAATTTTGAAAGGTTAGAAAAATACATTTATTACATAGAAATTAGTTTAAATACAAAGAATATTAAATAATTAATACTGAAACAACAGCGAAAAAAACATGTTCATGAGAATATAAATTGTTCAGAAAAGTTTGCAACGAAAGACAAATGAATTTGCAGTCAACAAGCACTTACTATACTACCAAACATCTGTACAATATATCTGAGCTTTTCTGTGAGATATACTGGTTCTAAAACCATTTCTTTCACTTCGTTTTCGAGTTGTAAAACAAAAGTATTTCAAATTGCCAGGCGGGTTTTGGCAAAACAAAGACATTGTAACAGAGGATAATTAATTATTGCTTCAGTTAATGGCTATTAGACTATATTATAAAACAATTATACCATTCGCTCTCGTCGTATATGGCTGATAGCCGACTCGGTGCTACGCACCTCGTCGGCTATCAGCTCATATACGACTCGAGCTCATGGTATAATTGTTAAATATATAAATAGTATAATACAGTACAACAAATGTATATAAATTTCCACTCGATAATTTCCATTGGTTATAGTACTTGCAATGGGGAACAGCTGGATTTCCACTTACATAGCTGGATTTCCACTTACATAGCTGGATTTCCACTTACAGAGAAATATTTCGTCGTCGAAATATTTCGCTTGATTTCTTTTGAATTGTACATGACCATCCGAATGAATCAGTTCTACTTGACCGCCCACAGAAATTGAGCGAGAAATTTTGATTTCGACAGCGAAATTTTTCTTGCAGGTGGAAATCCAACTTTACTGCATATTTCTGACATGCATGGTATTACCAAAACCGTGGATTCAAGACCGTGGATCCTCTCGCCAGAAAAAAACATGACATGCACTTTTTTGGGGTGAGAGTAAAGATCCATGGTTTTGCTAAAATACTTAATCTGTAGAACTATGAAAAGGTTTAGTTTAGTTTAATAGATTTGTACCACCGATTACATACGAAACACTTTTATACAGACAGTATAGTTAAAGTTTGTGGCAGGGAAAGAAAACAGGACAAAAGTCCCAATTGACATCCGATCCAGGTACACAACATATCGTTATTTTTACCGTGCTAACTCCGGTTGCAAGAATTTGATCTTCGTTTCCAACCCACTGTACACGAGTCTCCTTTCCACCGCCAAAAGCTGCGCCTTCCTGCAACATATCAAGACAAATCGTTTCATATCTTCTTAAATGAAAGATGTTTCAAAGATCTACAGGAAATTGGAAAACAGCTCCAAAGTAATTTTTAAAATAAACTTTGTCTAAGCCGAGAAAATCAAAGCTAAAGTTTATGTAAATTAACATGATTTTTTATAACATATAAAACCACCGACAGAGCAGTGATTTCCTCATGAAATATTAATGACGTTTCGTTGTGTATTATATAAATTTGTATATACTGTATATAATACACGCTTGTAAGTAAGTTTAATTGCTCTGAAGATGTTGTGAACAATACAACGAAACGTTAGCCAATAAATTTTATATTTTTGTTATGTCTTGTCTGAAAGTCATTTGCTGGGCTTTAATTTTCATTTTTAATTATCATATCATAACATTAGCATAAGCTAAACAAATCTTTTGATAATTGTACAGAAATCGTGGAGAGTTCGTCATTCTCGTAGAGAATCAGGTCATTCTTTCAAAACATTGCATCAAAAGGGTACTTGCCAAAAAGATGAATGGCTATATCATTGTTTCAATTTTATAGAAGAACGTTTTTACAAAGTGTACACCCTAAGCAACAGATAAATCTTTTTCACTTTGATCTATCATTTAATCTTTCCCAAGAGGAGGTGCATGACTTTTCAGGGGAAGTGCAAAACGATCTCAGGAGAGGTGCACGCGCCTCTCCATACCTCCGCTCAACATCTGGCCATGGTGTGCAATGTATTAAATTCTTAAGATTGCAAAGAGTGTTGATTTCAGTCCAGTACAAACAACTGACAAATTATGAATCCCAGAAACCGTAATGCGATAATGTTACACAGTGATTCACACAACATCCCTAAGAATAGTTATTGTCACTAAACAACGCGACCAAAAATGACGAGGGTAAGTTACGGGTCCTACAACAACTACTCTGGTTGCGAGTGTGAAAATAACCTTGGCAAATTAAAAAAATATATATCAAAAGGCACATGGAAAACGAAAAGTTCCACGCAGAACAAAAGAAACTTATTGGTAATAAGTTATAGAATGTTGGCCGTGTTATTTCTAACTCTGTAAAAACTTGCTTGACTTACTTGAGCAAGCACAGAAGCACGCGGATCAATTATTCGGATCTTTTTATCCTATATAAAGCAACAATTAGAACATCTTTTTAGCATTTTATGATACTGTACTGCACATATCCTAAACTTACTCCTCTGTTGTTCGTTTGCAACAACAAACAATGCAGAACAGATAATTCTCAACTCGGATAATTTATATATACCTTGCATCCTGTAGCAAGCAGACTGCCATCTTCTTTCCATGTTATACTTTGAACAACATCAGCATGTTCGTTAAAAGCTTTAGTAAAATATATCGATATCCAGACAATCAGACATGGGTTTCATTTTTGGATAAATTGTACAGTACTATAATTATAGGCAAAGTTCATAGCTACGTTTAGTCGTTTGTAATTTTAGGCACTTACAGGTTTTGTCTTTTCCTGATGAAATATCCCATATTTTGACTTCATTGCCAGCACCAGAGGCCAAAACCTAATAAAATAGAAGACTAGTTCAGATTAAATTTATCAAATGCCAACAGTACAATCAACTATACAAATTAACTAGTTAGGCTACAAGCTTATTATGCAAGTTTTATTGCTCGTTTCGTTAGTTGTATTTTGTTAGTTGTTAATGTTGGCTGTATTTTTAAAGAAGTTATACCGGTAGGGATGGAATTGGCAGCTCTTCGATAATAATCAAGCGCTTTCACAGGTATATTATAGGGATTACTGTAATCCTTAACCAATGCTACTGTACTTCATCCCCAATATAGCAATTAGTCGTCACGTAAGAGACGAATAATTATATACAAAAAGCCGAGCACCCTTTGTGTTTCTAACTCGCCGCTCTACCCATTAAACTATCGAGTCAACGGACTTTGGTAGCGAGTCTTATCCAATTTGAACGCAATATTTTTTGTAATAGAATTGAAACATTGCGCGTCCTCCAAGACAAACGTTAAGTCGTCACGAAACTATTTCGTGCACTTACAGGTGCTGTATGACTGTATAGGTTTGAAACATTTATCCTACTGTAATAATCAGTTCATTATGTTTTAGCTAATTTAATACTAGTTAATTTGTTTGATGTACAGTATAGCGTGACGATTTATCAGAACACTCGTTATTCTAGCCTAAGATTGCCCGCAGTCACTGGTGGGGATGGAATCGGTGGCTGTTCGAGACGCATCTGCGGCATGAATAATCAAGCGCCTTCACCGACACAGGGATAACTGTAATCCTTATCCAACCAATGCTACATCCTCCATCCCCAATGGCATCAAGTCATCCGTCAGAGACGGAGGATTCTGTACAAAAACTAAACCTAATTACAGTACCACACTTATCATTAGGGTACATCGGACGATCTTATTGATTTGTTCATTTATTAACTTTACATGCAACCATACAAAAGTACTATAAAATTATTACAAATAAATGTTTTAAAAAACTGAGCAACACTGCATTTAAATGTGGTGGAAGATATAGTCAACAGGACACGAGTCCCACGTGAAGACAAACCTGATAAAAAAAAGTTTTTTACCCTGGACCGCCTCATCCTATTTAAAACTTACATTTTCAGCAGCAGGGTTAAACAAAACAGTCTCCACGGACTTCTAAATAATATACAAATTGCATTCATTATACACGTTACGATATCTACAGTAACCTCACAAGCAAATTTGTTTCTTTAGAGACTTCGCCATTAAATAATTATTTAGTTCCATAAATATAATCTTCACACATGCTAACATGCAATGTATTCCAGATGTCACTGTGTTGTACCACGTGCTCTTACACACACAAAAATCTCACATCTTGTAGCAAGCAAGTCCGCCAACAAGCCATCAACAAGTTGTGTTCGCACTGCTTGTCCCAAGTTGTCAACAAGTTTGGAACAAGCTGTTAACACCTTGTAATAACCTTGTTGATATTAGCCGAATTCATATTAGGGACAGGAAACTCGTCTTAGACGGGAGGTTGTAATACAGTCATGATATAACAATATTGTTACAACCTTGTGTGGTCAACGTTGTAACATTCTTGAACATGGCAGTTTAAAATGAGCCTAAAAACGGTACATTTATATTGTATAACGAAATATAAAAAAATTTTCACGAGGCTCTTAAAATACACTCGGGCGGTGATGAGAATCAATGAATTTATTTTATGTGGCCATAGGTTGCAAATCTCGTCAACAATAATTCAACATTCAATCCCCTTTGAAACAACGTTGAATTTACTTGACATGTTCACGTCGTATACTGTAATCAACCATGCATGAATGAACGTTGAATCGACGTCTGGTAGCTGAAGTTGAGCAACGTTGGACGTTGATATTAGAGACATTACGATTTTAGGACGGCAACGCGACGGCAACGGCTACCAATACAATAGATCATTGAAAAGAATTGAATAATTACAATATATGAATAATTTAGACATTGTCCTCGCTCTGTTTACAACGCCAAATCACAGATTTTCACGTCTTGATACAACGGCTGCATTTCAAGCCGCAACAAGTGCAACTTCAAACTGGGTTCAGGAGAACTCTTCCCAACCATAAAACAAATGTCTTCAACTTCTAAGACTGTATTAAATTCATACGATTGATAATATACGACGAATTATCTTTACTACCATTTATTTGAAGGAGTTTGTTTTGGCCGTCGTCGTCGCGTTGCCGTCCTATTAGGTTGCGGCGCCGTGACGTTTTTCAACCGAATTTCAAAGTTGCAACAGCGTCGTGTGCCCAGTGGGGAGTCACAACCTTGTAGCAACTCTATAAAATGGCAACTGATTGTTAAAACTTGCAAACATATTTTGCCGACAAGATGCGAGGTTCGTATACGTGTGTAAGGGAAACATTGCTCATGGTACTTACCTGTTGATTACTTAATGTTATCTCAGGATTGGAAATGCCACCCGCAGAATCACCGTCCGGAATGGTCCAAATCTTGATCTACAGTATGTAGAGATTAATAATAAAATCAATTGGAAACACGTGGAACAAGTTCATTCAAAAAACACAAGGCAGCCTTCAACCATATCTACAGTATATCACCTACTAAGCAATCTTTAGAACATGTTGCTAAAACAGAGTCATCAAATGGAGAAAAACTGAAGTCATTCACAAAATCTGAAAAATAAGTTGGCATTTAGTTTTAGCCCGTTTTATACCTTACCAAATTTACTCGTGCTGGGACTTTCGTAACATGTGCAAATCATTATTATGGTACAATGAGCAAAGAGCTGTAAGGGGCGGACCATTAGAAATCCCGGGAGGGGGGGGGGTATAATATTTTTGCGGCACGAATTTTTTTTTCAGTCTCATATCTCTGCAGGATTTTTTTTAATGCATTTAACCTCTGCACGAATTTTTTTTCAAGACTATTTGCACTTTGCTGTTTGCTTGCACGAATTTTTTTTCTCTGACGTAATGGCTGCACGAATTTTTTTCCAGGCATTTTTCTTTGCACGAATTTCTTTTTGGGAATTTTCACCCCCCCCCCCTCCCGGGATTTCTAATGGTCCGCCCCTAAGAGGGATGGACGGGAAGGAAGTTTACAAGGTAGATACAGCAGCTCAAAATTTAAACTCAGATTTGCTTTACATTAGGGTAGTTAATGTTAGGGTTAGGAATGGGAGGGTAAGGTTTAGGGTAAGGTTCAGGATAAGGTTTAGAGTAAGGTTTAGGGTACCAGTAAGGTTTAGGATAAGGTTTAGGATAAGGTTTAGGATAAGGTTTAGGATAAGGTTTAGGATACGGTTTAGGATAAGGTTTAGCATAAGGTTTAGGATAAGGTTTAGGATAAGGTTTAGGATAAGGTTCAAGGTAAGGTTTAGGATAAGGGTAGGGTTTAGGGTAAAGTTTAGGACTGTTATAAGTGAATGGTTGTTGACTCATTTGTGTTTTAATGATCTTGAGAAATAGGCAAAATCTTGAAAACCTCCAGCCTTCCCGTGCACTGCCTGTAGCAATGACGGAGTGAATGGCCTTAATCTGACATAACAGTAAAAAGGTTTCCGCAGAAAAAAATTTCTGACCAAAAATAATGAAATTCCTTTTGACTATTGACTTCTGTTGGGTATGTGAATTATGTCAACCAAAAATAATTTATAAAAAAAACAGTCACTATACAGACGGTATATACTTAGTTAAAATGTTTTGAAATTTAACAATTATATACAGTATTCATGCTTTGTCGGTCGATGATCGCACAGCTTATTTGTTATTCCCTTCTTTAAAAAAATCTTATTACTGCACAGTATTTTTTGCCCAGATATAATTTCCGATAAATTTACCATCGGTAAGACAAACTGTAATTTGGTTGGAAAATGTCAGATGTCGAACTGTTATTTCAGGCTCTGACATATTCACCTTGCACCTACTCTACACAGTGCCGTAGCAA